ACATTAACTGGGTGTGGTGGTGCGTGGCTGTAGTCCCAGCTACTCAGGAGGCTGAGGAGGGTGGATCCCTTCAGTCCAGTTTGAGGCAATGGTGAACCATGAAAGTGCCACTGCACTCAAGTCTGGGCAACAGAGTTGAGACCCCAACTCAAAAAAAAAAAAAAGAGAGAGAGAAAGAAATTTCATTAGGAAATAAATTAAACAGAATGAATGAGAAATTAGCAGAAGTCAATTCCAAACCTTTTATGGAGAAACAGAAAACCAGATCTTTATTCCCCATTTTTACCTACTGCTATAAAACTTCCTGATAACAACAAAAATCTATCTCAGAGTCTTTACTGTGAGGATCTATCTCTTTCACACCAATTTAAAAGACACAAGATTTAAAGAAGAAATTAGGCCAAGTCAGCAGTGACAAGTTACAGACACAAGTAGCATCTCAAGAAAACTGAGTTAAGACAGGGCAATATTGCTTCAATATGGTCTGGGTCTGCTCAGCCAGCATAAAACCAAGTATCTACATCAAGATTTGCAGGTAAGGTGTATATGCATATAAATAGCTTGCTGTTATTTCAAAGTTTTAAGTTGTCTAGCTTCAGTTTGCAGGATTTTAAGGAAAGCTTAGTGTTAATGTCATGAAAATAGAAAATTCAAAAACATTAGTTTGGAAACTTGTTGGATAGAGAAGATTTCTTTTTCTTTTCTTTTCTTTTTTTTTTTTTTGAGTTGGAGTCTCACTCTGTTGCCCAGACCGGAGTGCAGTGGCCGCTCCTGGCCATCGCAGCCTCGACCTGCTGGGCTCCGGCTATCCTTCCACCTCAGCCTTCCAAGTAGCTGGAACTACAGGCGCGCGCTACCATGCCTGGCTCATTTTTTATTTATTGTAGAGATGAGGTCTTGCCAAGTTGCCCAGGCGGGTCTCGAACCCGTGGGCTCAGGCAATCCACTCACCTCAGCCTCCCAAGGCGCGGGATTGCAGGCTAAGCCACCGAGCCTGGCTATTATAAATTGTAGGCAGATAATAAAAGCTCAAAAATAACAGACAAGGCTAGAATCGAATACTGTAGTTTCTTTTGAAACATACTTTTTCTCTCTACTCCCCCATTTCCACCAAAGACAAATCCTCGTTGAACCAGTTTATTTGTAAAATAATTTTTGGTCTTCCTATACTTGGCCTGATTATTTGCAGAAAGTGCAGCAAGAATAATTACTGGCCATATACACATATACAGTTGGACTTGCTGGAACTTTTTTCAGAAAGAATCTTGGGTTAGACCTTGTAAGAGACTCTTCAAATGAGCTAAGCCAAGGATTTGTCTGCACCTGCAGATGCTTGTATGAATTGGGTAAGTTCCTCTCTTCTTGAGGTTCCAAAATAACCTGGGGTTCTTGGGCCTGTCAGAAAAGTGTCAATTTTTATTTACCACAGTAAGGAACTTGTAAAAGAATCATATCGACAAAGCACGAAGCCAGTCTGTCCAAGAGACTTTTATCAGCTCTCTAAAGTCAGTCTCAATTTCTCAAAGCAGTCTGGTCATGCCTGAAAATATTCCCTTCCAGCTAAAGTCTTGGTGAAATAACCAATGTCTCCCATTGTGTCCTTTTACAAAGAAAAACAGATTCTTATTCAAATTATTCAAATAGCTATATTGCCAGAAATTAAGCGTACTCACAAATTCTAGAGAAACCAGGTAGAGAGAACTATATTTCACATTTTACTCACAAGAGTATACATTACTTGAGCAGAGCAGCACTTGTCAGATTTTTTTTTATACATTAAATTCATTTTCTTGGCCTGGCACAGTGGCTCAAGCCTGTAAGTTCAGCATTTTGGGAGGCCAAGGTGAGGGGATTGCCTGAGCCCACGGATTCGAGAACAGCCTAGGCATCTTGGCAAGACCTCATGTCTACAATAAATCAAAAAATTAGCCAGGTGTGGTAGTGCGCGCCCTTAGTTCCAGCTACTTGGAAGGCTGAGGTGGAAGGATCACCAGAGCCCAACAAGTCGATGCCAAGGTGGTTGTGAGCTTGCTCCTGCACTCCAGCCTGGGCAACAGAGTGAGACTCCAACTCAAAAAAAAAAAAATTCATTTTCTTCACTTTCAGCTTTAGCTTTATTTGCTGGGTTATTTTTGTAAGACACGTGAACATGGATGGGAAAAAACGGTGACCTATTCCTGTACTTTGTTTCCTTATCACCCAGTCCTCTGCTTCCTGGAATGAGACTCAAGAACACAGGTGTTCTCGATGCTAATATTGCTCTGTGAGAAAATATTTTATGGTTAATAATTGAAACGCCTGATAGAATATCCTTCTCTTGGAGATTCCTGAAACTCATGACGGAGACTCTGAGAAGCATATTAAAGATTGCGCAACTCTTGAAAAACTTTTAACCCAAACTTGTTGACCAGTGTTCTTTAAGGAACACTGATTAATATGAGGAGGAAAGCTAGAACTTGGTGGAAAGCTCTAGATTGGAAGAAACAGAGGAGAACTTTTTAAGCCACATCTAAGTAGTGTAAGTTCTTAAAACATAGAAGTGTAACCTTTTCTAGATTATTTCTAGGTGTTAGAAATAGAATCTAAAGTTATTTCTATATCTTACTTTCCTGTGAAATCTTTTTGTCCTTATGGCAGTTTCTAGTTATGGGCATTTTTCTGACCAGCCCATGAATATTCTCACTGCCCTTTGTAAGCTGTCACTGTTGACACATCACAAAGATGAATAGGGACCCAAAGGTACTCACAGGTATAAATAAATAGACACACAATTTCACAGGCTGGGGTGGCCTTATTGAGGGAAACATGAGCATAGTTGTACTTCATACTCTGAGCATTGGCAGGAAATCCTCACTGCCCAAATTCTCTTCCCTACCTGCCGTCCAGGGGCCTGACATGCACCCTCCTCCCAAAGCATGCACACCTCAAAATCTCCTTTTGAGGCCATGAAGAATTTTTTTTAACGCCAAGTTCCTCTGAAAAGATGTGCAGATTAACACAAAACAGGACTGGTAGAGATGAGGTCTGCAGCACACTGGCCACCTTTGCTTCAGTAACCCGCCACTCACCCACGCAGCCATGTCTGGTGGTGTGCAACGTGATAGGCCTAAATCTGAGATGGCTTGCCTGTAAGGTTTACCTATCCCAAAGAAGGCGCCCGGAAGTCCAGAAGGGAGAGACACTGGTTTATTGCACTATGGGAGGGTCAGCGATGGAAGCGGATGGGTGATATTGAACGAATTTGCACGTCAGGACAGCGTAGCAAACAATTTTATAATCAAGCAAGTTAATGAATCAGATTTCTGCAGTGTTTACAGTCACATTGGTTAAGAGCGATAACCACGGTGTCTTTAAGTTGCTTGGTTCCCTGCACCCCATGACTTGTTAACCTCAGGACTCGTTACGGGGAACATGCGTGTCCTGCAGAGACCGCCCTGACCAGGGCTATTCCCTGGAGGAGAGGCAGAAAGGAGCCAGATGGAGCAGAAAGAGGCAATGGCAGACAATTAGTCACCCCATACTCCACCCCTACATTGACCTTTTTCCACCCTTACAATCTTCACGTAACATTGATCTTCCGCAAGTTCCCTGAGGTGGACACAAGTCAAACATTGCATCCTTATCTTGCATAGGCAGCAAAGCAGCAACTTAATATGTCTCTGCTTTCTGCCTGAGCTAAGTGTCCCTTTCCAATCCTAACTCCTCCTGTAATCGCTGCACCTGGCTCCTAGCAGCTGTCTCCCAGTCTGTAGCCTCTGGAGAGAGCAAAGCAGGGACCATGCCACTGCCACTGTGGCTACAAGGCTACTTTTTCTCTTTTGTAATTGTCCCTTCTCACCAACTGCTTTCAATAATCCAGCAGTCTGACTGGTGTTCTGAGGGCATCTCCATACTCATATGGTGGCCCCAGCTATTTGCCAAGCTGGCTTCTTTGGACCACGTGCTACCAGTAGTCCACGCTGGGACTGCCCACAGCAGACATTCCCTACCCCTCTGTCTCTCCTACAACTGTGACAATGGTGGGGGGTGGGGAGGGGTTCTTTGGAATATCCTACTGCTTATGCCAGTTGTAACGTGGTAACCCCAAATCTGAGAGTGCTTGCACATAATGTTTACCTATTCCATAGAAGTCACCCAGAGGTCCAGCAAGGAGATACATTGGTTTATTATACTTATGGGAGGGTCACCCATGACAGCAGGTCAGTGATGATGAAAGAATCTCTGCCTTGGGACCGCACAGCCAACAGTTTTATAATCAAGCAAGTTAATTCAAATTTCTATACAGTGTTTATAGTCACATTGATTAAGTGTGATAACCACATTGTCTTTAGGTGGATTACCTGCTCCCAGTGACTCATTAACCCCAGGACTTGTTACAGGGAATAGGCATATCCTACAGAGACTGACCTTGGCCAAGGGTTGTTCACTGGGGGAGGGGCAGAAAGAAAGCCAGATGGGGCCGGGGGTCGGGGGAGGCAATGTCCGGACAATTAATTACCCCACACAAGGGCTTGTAAAACTGGGGAGAAGCACCGCGGTTCTCAATTTCTCTTCTGTTTCCAGTAATGTACAGTGTGCATGCATTCTTTTTTTTTTTTTTTGGTCTTTTAAAACATCTGTCTCGCCAGAGCCCACGGGTTCGAGAACTGCCAGGTGAACTTGGCGAGACCTCATCTCTACAATAAATCAAAAATGAGCCGGGCGTGGTAGTGCATGCCTGTAGTTCCAGCTACTTGGAAGGCTGAGGCGGAAGGATCGCTGGAGCCCAGTGGGTCGAGGCTTCGGTGACCGGGAGCGGCCACTGCACTCCAGTCTGGGCCACAGAGTGAGACTCCAACTCAAAACAAACAAACAAACACAAATCTGTCTCTTCGTAAATCACTTGTCTTCTTTAAACTATTTTAGTGTAATGTTACGCAGTATAAACAGTAGTATGTAAGAAGCATAAAATAGTTACTGGAATTAAGTCATTATGACTTCTGTTCCTTCTTGTGTCTCAGTATTTCCAGGCTTCGGCACTTGCTTAGCTGTTATGACTCCAGCGAGCCCGTGTTCCTGGGAGAGCGCTATGGCTATGGCCTGGGCACTGGCGGCTACAGCTACGTCACAGGAGGAGGAGGGTAACTATGGCCACCACTTTCTGCAAGCCCTTGGAACATAAACTTCCCTTTCCACACAGGAGGGTGGGTCTGTGGCACTGGGATCTTGACTGATATGTGAGTACTCTGTAAATGGCAGCCGTCAGTTATAATAAGAAAGTGAACATTGTATTTGCTAAATATGAAAATAACCTACAGTAAAGAATATTGTACCCCTTGAGGAAGCTATATAAAAATGTATGTCAGAGTACTTGATAGAAGTGTTCCCATAATAATGATTGCTTCTAGGCAGCCAACTAGTTTTGATTGTTTAAGTGAAAAAAGAAATTTATTCTTGGTTTTCATTTCAGGAAATAAGCCATTAGACTTTTAAATTATCCAGTGCTTAATAAATCACACTTGGGAAAAGAGAAGCTTAGACTTAGGCAATTAAGTGATGTTTGTGTAGGATTTATAGGTTTTAAATAACAGTTAAAAATCAGTGTTTTTAAATGAAGCATCTGCCTAATCTTGTATGAGGAAAGATTTTAATTTGATTTATGTGGGTAAATCAATTAAGCAGTTAGTCTTCTCTTCTTTACTATTGGTGTGTTTAGGGAGAATCTTGTTATCCGCTATAGTCATTTCAGTTCATTTAACAGATGTTTGTTGAATGTCTGCTATGTGCTGGGCAGCATTCTAGTTCATAACCCAGAGAATATAACTTTGTGAAGGGCTGGAACCTCACAGCCCGACTCTGCAATCCCCCAGGTTGAAACAGTCCTCACAGTAACCCACTGGATCTCAAGAGTCGTGTTGCAGGTGTTGCGATTTGGTCCAGTCGATGCTGTGGTGAACCTAAACACAGCTATGCAGGTGGCTCTTCTGTAGTGATAACCACGGCTGAGCTGCCAGTGCTTGTCTTTGTTAAGCAGTTGCTTGTATCCACTTGAGGTCATCATCAATGGAAGTTCAGGAAAACCTTTGAAGGGACACTAAGAGTGAGACCAATGAGTGTTGACGCCTTTGTTTCCAAAACGCTCAAGCTATTTGCAGCCTTACTGTAATGCATTATGCGAATTCCTACTCAGGGGTCTGTAGTTAGCCCTCATCCTTTCTCTCCTTTACCCACTCCCTCTGGTCTACTCACCAGGTCGTATCAGCCAACCTCCTGGATAGCTCCTCCCTCAATTCTCCTCTTTGTCTCCAGTAATCTGGGCCAGGTCACTGTCATCTCTTGGGTGGGTTCCTGTCACAGCCTCCTGCTCGCCCTACGTTTTGTCTTTCTCCACTCCACGCTGCTGTCCACACTATATTATCAGAGGGAACTTTCTAAAAGCACTTCTGATCCCTCCCCCACGTTCAGAGACCTCCACGGCCTCCCGTTGCCTTTATTGTTACTCAAGAGCGTGAACCCTTTTCTACTTTTGGCATCTGAGACAAAGAGATGATCATTCTGACTTCAAGAGTCGCATTCATCTAGGATTAGTCCTCAGTGTTCATCACCTAGAATTCACCTAATGAACAGCCTCCTGGGTGCTGCTGAGGCCATTGTCTTGGGAGACTTCTAGAAATTCATTCGTCTAGTCTCCATGACATCCAACTCTCTTCATTTCCATAGATAGGTATGATTTTTATTTCATTTGGATTTTTTTAAATGTTACCATGGCATGAAAGCCTTTTATTTATTTCTTTATTTATTTTGAGTCAGAGTCTCACTCTGTTGCCCAGGCTGGAGTGCAGTGGCACACACTCATGGCCACCACAGCCTCCACCTGTGGGGCTCAGGCAAGCCTTCCACCTCAGCCTTCTAAGTAGCTGGAGCCACCGGCCTGTACCACCACACCCAGCTAGTTTTTTGTTTTTTTTTTAAATTTATTATAGAAACGAAGCCTCACCAAGTTGCCCTGGCTGGTCTTGAACCCATGCCCTCAGGCAATCCTCTCACCTCTGCCTCCCAAAGTGCTAGGATGATAGGCGTGAGCCACCACGCCCTGCCAGGCATGAAGGTCTTTTGTATCCTTTGATGTCCTCACTGGAAATAGAACCTTCTCCCATGTCCTTTAAGGTGAAGTCCACACTCTTTTATCGAGGCTCAAAAGGCTTCTCATGATCCTGGCACAAGCTGTTTTATCTTTCTAGCCTTATCTGTCTACGCCCTCATCTTAAAGAATTGTTGCTGAACCTGTGTGGGTTTCTTAGAAGCACTGTCTTTTCTCTTTCCCCAAGATGTAACATTGTCTTGTCTCTGCCTAGCATTGTCTCTCCAGCCCAGCTTTCTGTCTGGCTAATTCTAATTCCCCCTTGTTCTTTGGACTCAGTAGAGCTGTTATTTATTTACTTTGAGAAAGCTTTCGCCCAGTCAAGCCTCTCAAAGCTGGGTTTAATGTGCTTTGAATGTACTTTCATAGCATATTATGCAAGCCATTATCATTTAATTGCCTATTTACTTTTCTATTTTCCACTCAAATTATGCATTATTTGAAGGCAGCACCTGTGCTTCGTTGCTCATTGTTTCTTCACTTCCTGGCATAGGGATTCATTTTTCCAAGGTACAGCGAGTAAATGAATAAACAAATGCATGAACACGAGGCATTGATCTTTATGTAGCTAACATTGACCAGTATGATGTTCTGCTTGTAACAGCACTTTTATAGCGATGCGGGAACGTTCTTTGTGAGATTGTTGCTTACATCTACCTTTGATAAAAGCTGTAGACACATGATGTTGAATGGCTTCTCTAGTAACGCAGTAGACTTATGTTCTAGCTTGAGAACCAACATGCTTTTAAAACTGCAAGTCAGAATTAGGGGCTCGTAAAACCAATTGAGGACCCATAACCATCATTTTAAAATAATGAAATATTGAGTGGGATAGAATACAGTGAAAAGCATCAGAGTGCATTCGATGTCTTAAGGATAAGTATTGTTTTGTGGAGTTTTGTTTTGGTTTTATGCATGCACACATACATTCACACACAAGACCCAAAAGGGCTGCAGTATGAGATGTATTGTTTTCTGTCTGTGGGTCATCGTCTAGGAAATCTTTAAAATCTATTGCCTTGAACCATCCTTTGTAGGCCCCGCCTGTCGGAGCTAAGTCAGAGGTGTGGGCTTCAGTGATTTATTGTTGTGTAGATATTCTGCGTTGCTTAGAAAGTGAGACTTCTGTGCTATTTGGGTCTGTCTGCTTTTCACTTTGTGGCTTGCTCCATGAAAGTTGGGGTGTTTGGAGAAAATTAGTTGCATGGTTTTTTCTTTTCAAAAATACTTATTACATATGTGGTTTGGGTAGGAAGATGCGCTCAGGGTGTCATCAGCCTTTTTTGGCAGGCTTGGGGCAAATGACTGCACTAGAATCCGAGGGACGACAGTGTCCTTAGAAGAGGCCGCAGGCAATGAATGTTACCCAGAGACAGCCTTGCCCTTTCCATCTCCTGAAGACAGAGGGACGGGTGTGTTGCCCGTGTGCATGACCTTGTGTACGTGTTCTTCATTTGCAGTATGTTTTTGGGCATGTTCCAGCCTCCTACCATTTGTTTTTCTTTTTCTTTTTTTTTTCTTAAGTAAATAATTTACCAAAGAGTATTTAATACCAAAATGAATCGGTATATTAAATAGAAGTACTTACATACAGTATACATTCTATCAATGTTCTACCACCTACAGTAGATGAATAATTTTGACATTGCATACCATACATCAAAACATCATAAATAAAAGATTTCCGTAAACTGAGCCAAACCTAAACAATCATAATCAATACTCCTAATCTTAGAGTTAAGAAGCGTGATTGGGCAGAAGAGACCACATAATGCTACAAAGAGCAAGTTATTTATGAGTATCATTTTTAAAGCAAAAATATCAGTTTTTCTTAATTTAAACATTTGTATATTGTGTATTGAAGGCAACCAAATTGTTAATCAGCCTTTCAACATCTTTTTAGTGTTTAAGAGCTGGTAGACAGAGCAGACACGTGTTCTCTTCTACCATGTCACGACTGACAGTTTTTTGGTTTGGGGAGCAACTTCATTTGGAAAGAAACCATCACCCTTACTGTAAACAAGTGTTATTAAAGGGCCACGTGCACTTAGTTTATGCAAATAATTAAGGTAAGACTGTTCTGTGTGGGCAGGCAAAAGTAGAAAATAATTACTAATTACAGTTTCATGCTTGCCTTTTATTTTCCTGTAAAGTTAGTTTTTCGGAATGCAGATCAAAATAAAAGGCCTTCCTCTTCTTTTTTTACTCTACTAGTTGCTGGCAGGGGAAAATACTTGTTTTTACTTTGCACTGTTGACGCATGTCCACTCATGTGCGCCCTTTTCCTGGGATCAGCATGACTGACTGGGTACAGGAGTTCTACTCAGCCAAAAAGGTGTGTGGCTGGCAAGGTTTCACCGGTGGATAGTAAAAGAAGTTGATGGTGGGTTTTCAGACTTCCAGTTTTTCGCTTTGTGGTGTTGACAGGGATGTTTTTTCTTCTATTTGTACCATCCTGTTTTCTTGTATCATCTTAAGAGCTTCTTTTCCTCTCGTCTAATCGGGGCCAGCAGCAAGTCTGTGTCATGTTGCATCTTCATGGTTACTCACACTAACTCACACTAGGTAAACAGCCCTGAACTAAGCACGGCAGTGCGTGGACTCTGTTTTTGGATCAGGGATTGTGTTCAAGTTCTCTGTCCTTTTTTCCTTCCTGGTAGACTGATTCATAGACCACTTCCTCTCTTGGGAAGAAGATCTTTGCAAAGGCAGCTTAATTTGATGCATCAAACTTTTATTGAGTTCTTATTGTATGTAAGGCTCTGAGTTTGGCAATGGAAATGTAAGGATGAATTCATTTTAAGTAGTTTCGCCGTAAAGAAAGTTTTTGGTACTTGAGACTGAACTTGTGAACTATGTTAGCCTCCTTATACCTGTGTCAGCTTTGGGGTTATTCATGATAAGAAAGCTTCATTTCTGCCATACGACTAGAATAGAAATCAGAAAACAATATTTGTATGTGTGTATATAGATAGATCGATAGATAGATAGATAATTTTTTTTTGAAAGCAGGATTTATTGAGAGAACAGAAAAGCTCCCACAGTGGGAGGGGACCCAAAGGAGTTGCCACCAATCTATATTTTTTAAAAAGGAGAATTTTCTTTTTTGAGTTGGGATCTCACTCCAACGCCCAGGCTGGAGTGCCATGGCACACTCACGGTCACCCTAGTGTAGACCTGCTGGGCTCCAGTGATCCTTCTTCCTCGGCCTTCCAAGTAGCTGGAACTATAGGCGCAGACTACCATGCCTGGCTAATTTTTTATTTATTGTAGAGACGTCTCACCAAATTGTCCGGTCAGGTCTTGAATCCACGGGCTCAGGCAATCCACTCGCCTCAGCCTCCCAGAGTGCTGGGATGACAGGCTGAGCCACTGAGCCTGGCTGAAAAGGAGAATTTATTGTGGGAACTTGGTACCAAAGTGCTGTAAAGGGCCAGAAGACCAAGAGAGAACAGGTGTGGTTTTCCTTGGAGATCAGTGACTATAGAAAGAGACTACTACCTCTGAGCTGGCGGAGTCAAAGAGCTGTCTGCTGGAGTCCACCTGCTGCACTGCAGTGATCTCAGGATCTGCTCTGACAACCCCTTTCTCTGTCTGCTCTGGCTCCCACTAGAATGGTCTTCAGCAGAGAAGCCATCAGGAGACTTCTTGCCAGCAAGTGTCGATGCTACAGCAACGATGCTCCCGACGACATGGTCCTGGGAATGTGCTTTAGTGGGCTGGGAATCCCTGTGACTCACAGCCCTCTCTTCCATCAGGTAAGAACATGCCTTTTTATTCTGCCTCATAGGGGGTGGGGATACGTACGTTCTTCTCACTTAAGGATTCTACTTCTTCCTCTTCACATATTCCAGAAACAACCTTAAGAATTATACCACAAGGCTGCAGGGGGCATCTTTAGCAGAACTTTTATCCTCTTTGATATACTTGGTGCGCCCTGTACCTCATGAAGAGGGAAGGTAAATGCATCTAGAAAACAAACTGGTGTTTGACCAGTATCCTTGCGTATAGGACCAGGGAAACGCTTTTTTTTTTTTTCCCGTTTAAAAAAAAAAAAAAGATGGCATTTAAAAATTATTGGATACTGTCTGACCTAATATTGTCCTACTGGCCACAGCATGTGTATTTCTACACTGTCCTCTCAGTTTTTACACTATCCATCTGCTTGTCTTTTTACCTGGCTTTCTCTCCTTTGGTTGCTGTTACACGGAGTGGCTAAAATCTATTAGATTTCAATATCTATCTCGGTAAGTATATATTTGTGCTTATTAAAAAGAGATGAGATAGTTAATGCTTCTAGTTCCGTTCTATTGCAGTTTGGGAGTTGGAGAAGGAAACTTTTTCAGTATTGTTTTAAAAGTCTTTTCAGAACCAGGTTAGCTAATTTTCTTCTATTCTAATAATAATAGCAGATATACATAAACTAAAAATATGCCCACAAACATCTAATATCCTCCTATAAGAAATTTAAAGATTCTGAAATTTACAATGTATAAATGCATGTATATTTTGTCCCTTCCCTTCATACTTTATTTAGTAACCAGTAGCAAACACTATCATAGCAATATAGAAACTTTAGCATGACAGAAATAATGCTATAGAAAACAACTTGAGCAAAGTTAAGTATTTACATTATCAAGAACGGCAGAATCCATTTCTGGGTCCTTGAGACAGTGAAGATAAAAATAGGCCCTTAGTACCAAAAAATATATGAAAAACCTTCTCCCTGGTGCCAATCAGAAGGCACTTGCCCATCCTTGAAACCTTGAGAGAGAGTCTTACCCACTTTAAGCCTGTGTGTTATGTTAGAATGACTTTGAAAGTTAATCTCTGTCTCTCCCTCTTGCTCTGTCTCATGGTGTTTCACTCATCAGAAAAGAGGGTAATTAAGGCCGGGCTTGGTGGCTCAGCCTATAATCCCAGCACATTGGGAGGCCGAGGTGAGTGGATTGCCTGAGCCCGCGGGTTCGAGACCCGGCTGGGCAACTTGGCGAGACCTCATCTCTACAATAAATCAAAAATTAGCTGGGCGTGGTAGCGCGCACCTGTAGTTCCAGCTACTTGGAAGGCTGAGGCGGAGGGATCGCCGGAGCCCAGCAGGTCGAGGCTGCGGTGGCCGGGAGCGGTCCCTGCACT